ATGTGAGTGAATTAGCCAATCGATTAGTTAGGCTTTTTCCAGTTGTGCAAATAAGATGGAACAAATATATGGTGGAGATATTTAGTTCGACTATGAAAAGTGCAATGGAGTTATGAGTCATCAGGAATGAGGAAGAATAAATCACTATTTTAGGAGTGACTCTAAAGACCCGCCCTAGTAACTGCCGAAATAATGAATCAGATTCCAGTATTTCGGCTGAATAGGTAGATTTTCATAAAATACAGAAACCTAGTTGGTTATCTCAACAGTTACTAGGATGGTTTTTAGAGTCAATCCTACTTTAGAAAGACGAATATTCGAAAATCAGTTTGTAATAAGTATTAGTAATAGCAATAACTATAATAGTGATAACGATAAAGGTGCTTATACTTAAGATAGCAGTTGAAGTATGAATGATAACAAAATGAATTAGGTAATATATAGAATGGTTTATATAACTCAGAAAGGAGCCTAAAATTGATAAAAATAGTAAATCACTAAAGCTTTATTTAGTAGGATTAGAAAAGTGGTTAAAACAAAACTAATGTTTTTTGAAGTGATTAAGACGATTATTCGAAATAACATCGGAAACTACTGAAAGATGAATAAATCATGTGGAATAGTGTGGAGCTGTGTTCTCCCTTCTCCTTATATATTAGTTGTAATTGTCTATGCGAGTCATTGTTTCCCAAAAGGGTATGAACAAATATACAAAGCTTCTCCAATGTCCCGATCTTTGTAAAAAAGAAACCCCTTTTGCAAGACTTTCGCCTTTTCAAGTGATACTTAGTGACCTGAATATAAGGTATGAGCCGCGATGACCAAGCTTTCGCCAAGTTTTTTCAGATCGTAGGAATTTTTGGTTTCTGCTTGTAACTTCAACTGTGTTCTTTTAGACGTGTTAGAACTTGAGGTGACGTCTCTCCAAAAATATTTCGGATCGCATTCACTATAGACTACCTTATGAATGCAGTTCTGTTGTTCTAAATGAGAGATAAGGTCTTTTAATTTGCACAGGTGTGAGTGCAAAGTCCTTTTCAGCTTAAAGAATACTCTGATTTTGTAGCTGTTAGGGATACGTCTTTCTTATGATGTGGATGTTCAACAGTGAAGTACTAGAGTACTTATCCAAACTTTCTGAGTTAGCTTTTTCACATTAACTTCGATGACTAAAGTTATACAAGTAAAGCGCTTACCATACGTACAAGGGGAAATGAAATGCTATAGGGTGTGAAAGTTAAGTCAGATAAAAACAATAGATGGGTGCAATAAAGCAAGGACAGATAATTTGAGGAATATTAGCTTAGTAAAATGTTGTTTATATTAGGGAACAAAATAAGTTAAGAGAATATGATAAAATTATTTCAGTTTATAGGAATGAGGGGACATCTATAAGGTGGAAGTTGAAGATTAAAGTACATAGAGTAGGAAGCTTAGAAAAATAGAAACTTCAGCGAATAAATGTTTTTTCGGTGAATTCATCTTCTGCAGCTGCATAATCGCACTTAAATATAGTTCGTGTGCATAACAATGCTAATACTTGTTAGTGGTTTATGGCCACGAAAATAATATAGGAATGGAAATTACGTAAGAAATATGAAAGTAATTGGCAAAGTGAGCAGATGTGAGTTGAAACTAAGAAGTAAAGAATTCGCAGCAAAGTGAGTAGATAGTTGTCGATGAGAAAGGGAATGAGAAATTTGTAACTGAACTAAACGAAAATCGTTCACGTTATTACAATATGAAGGATTAGTTGGGCCAAAGAACCAGAAAGTTTAAGAATTAAGATGTAAATAAAGACAAAGAATGGAAAAGTTGCTTCTCGATACACAATTCCCGTCTCGATTGTTGCATTACTAGAGTTTCAACAATGCAAGGTAAAATGGCTCGTCATACCCTTCGGAAGATTACATTCTATTTTGAAAACCAGTGCACACGAATCTTCTGGAACAGTGTCCGCTGTCAACCAAATGTCATAATATGGAGCTGTTAATTGATCTGAGCTGACATTCACTGAACAATACCGGAAGGTGTTGGCATTGACGTTTGACCATCTGTCATCGCATACGACCTATGTAACTGGCTCCGCACGAAAACAAAAGGCTCGGTTGGCTTTCTCCAACTCGCGCCATTTATGGCGCCATCATGATATTTAACTCTCTATTAAGGGTCGAATGTACTGCGCTGTCGATCGCTTTATTTTACTATGTAGCTGTGAAAAATAGCCACCAAGGATGGAGTATATGGTGAGGAGTTTTCAGGTCTTTGACCAGTGTCGCTTTCGTAACACAGACTATGCGTCCTGGTATTCGTAATTTAGAAGTCAGGTGTAGAGTCTTAAGTAGAAGAAGAAAGTCAGTTGATGAGGTTGCGAACCTTCATCGACTTAGATAGCTGGACATGTGCAGTACATGCCTAGTCACCGTCTGGCTCCTTCGTACAATGTTAGCTGGAGAAGGCCAGGATGGAAAAAGGTTAAAAGTCGCCAGACTAAGACATTGCACCAGTCCACGAAGTTTCTGACTAGTGGTCTAAGCCATGTAGGGAAATCTAGACCTCACAGTTGGGGTCTACGTTCAAGCAAAAACCGGCGTTTGAACACTAGATCGACCAGAATCAGTGTCAATGTCACAAATGGATCCACACATTGTGTTCATTTCAGTTGTCATAATGAATTGCGTATTATTTCATCCCTTCATGCTGTCTTTCTTAAATTTCTGCCACTTGACTAGTTTTTCTCGTATTTCTTTATTATTCATCTTGATATATTTTCGCTCCGGGTCCTGATGAAGTGTGGTAATTTGAACCTTTGTGACCATAGTGCTAGGGTTTAATGTTGATACTATCTATCTCTACCTGTGTCTGCTGAGTGCGACCTAATCATCATTTCAGTATCTCTACATGTGAAAACTTAAAGGTTCAGAAAGTAAAATGTGATCCTCTTAAATCCTTTAATGCGAATAAAAAAGCACACACAAGCACCTGTTTTTATTCAAAGATCCTCCTATGGTACCACCGTAACCAGTTAGAAATACTGCGGCTAAAAACATTTCGCTCTCACTCTCTCGATAATGTATAAACAGAGAGAGAAAACCATCCGATGTTTCGACTGAATTGATGTCGTCGGTAGCGCAACTGGATGACGTAAGTGATCTCGAGTTAATTAAGTTGACAGGCAGCACAGGCACCTGAAAGTATGGAAATGTGCAGTGACTTGATGCAAAAATCTAACACAACTATCCTCACCTTGACTATTCTCACTAAGCTCGTTAACAATTTCAGTGAATGACATGTAACTTTTGAATAACATTGAGGTCATAACTAGAACCTATCCTAGGTGATATCTTTGTGACTCTTCTCGAATAAATAGGTCTTAGTCGTATAGTCAACGAAAAGACATATCGATGGCGTCATTGGTTCTTGTGTACCTATAAGTCATGCATCAAAGTCGTTCGATACTTTTAACCAACTTTGTCATAATCTTAATTTTACAGCAAAATATGAAAGTGAAGACAGATTCAGTTTCTTGGATCTGAGTATGGGACGCGAAAGTGATGGCACAGTTGAGGAAACCATTCATAGGAAAGATACATGGACTGTACACGATCTGTAATAGTTCTAATCTTGTTACCTATAAACGGGGTTTAGTTAGGACGCTGCTCATAAGAGTTAAAATATAATGTTCAAGCAACAAATTGGAAGAAGAATTAGCAGATATCGAGATTAATTGAAGGGACGAATATCATCAGAAGTTGATGATCAAGTATAAGGAAACAATACACTAGAAAACTGAAACATCTAGCTGTTGAAAAGAAACTAGTTTTCATACTACTGGCATTTAAAGGTCGTGAAGTCTTTGATAGAAGAGACAAAAAGTGTGCTGAGAAGGATGTTTCTTGAAGATAGATCGACTTCGAACTACAACACTGCTTCCTCACTAACTCAATTGAAAGTAGACCAAACATCAGCTCATGTAACATATAACTTCATGTATCGACTCACATGCACTTGTGAAGCAAGTATATAGGGAAAACTGAGAGAAAGTCACAAGAAATCAGTATTTGAAAGGAGACAAGACTTCTAACAGCACAATCGCTTGGCAGTTAATGAAAACATGCCATCACATAGATTTATCTGAATCTTTAACAGTTATCAGCATGTAAAGTATGCCATTTTTGGTATGCTTCACGCAAACCCTAGTTACTAAACGGTTTCAACTCGACCTCTCCACATAGAAAGGAACTGTAACTAACCTACCTCTACTCTGGTGATTCGACATAATTTTGGTTACATTACTAGCGTAACCGATTTCTAATCACTTCAAGTGTAATTTACTCTAATTATTTGTGTGTTTACATAACCCACAAGTGTCCACAACTCCAGTTAAAGTCTTGTGCATTGCCTCCATTTATTGCACAACTATTCAATTTCTCGCCTGATCAGTTAAACTGTCATGGATTTTGATTTAAGTATGTGATTATTATTATTACTGCTATTATCAACTTACCTAGCTTCACCATTCCATTACTATTCCTGGATTTTGATAGCCAACTCTTTTCACATATTTAAACCAAATTATCTAAATTTTACTTCTAAAAACTAGACTCGATTTAGGTCTGAATAGAAGCGTAAGTCGAACAGTGAGCTAATTTGATTGTGAAAATCTTTGCATTTACTTCATTACATTTATCAAGGGAACTAAATATATGCAAAAAAAAGTTCAGATTGTGAACAATATTTTTCATTATAGACTAACCTATTACTCGGAAGATGTAAATGTCCGATATAATTTGACAGGGATAAGCGAGCACATAAGGATCCGTTTGTCGTCACGTTGCTCATCAGTAGTTTTCGTGTTGGATTCATTCAATTTTCTCCCACCATTAAGCTTACAATAATGTCGGAAATGATAGCAATTCTACATAATATATAGTATCAAATCACCCAAAAAAAATGCTAAGACCTAATACAGAAATTTAAAAAATGAAAAGATAACTAACTTTGAATTCATAGCCATATTGTATTCTTTGTTGAGCGCTAAGGTAAGAAGAATAAATCCCAATTAAAACAGCTGACCATTTGTAGATCGGAGCTAGTTTAGTTGGATCATATAAATGTGATGGTGTTTTTGAATAAGATTCAATGCTCGACGTGCACTCTTTATTCCAGACTCGATGAATTGTCGTCGACTTTGCAATTCATATGCAATATCATTTAAACTATGAAGATTTCGCAAACTATCAGAAGTTGAATTATTTTTTTCCATATTAGTTGTTTTTTGTGCAATTTCTTCCTCTGACAATGATTCTTCACTGGCTATATAAGTGGCACGAGCAAAACGCCATAAGAATTCTGGACAATAACGGTACTAAGAAAGTATTAAAGGAAAAAGCACAAAGACAAATCAACATACAAATACATGAATATGGTTGTAATTTGTTCATTGAGGGGAAAACGATACTCTGGAATGGATATCTTAAAATCTATTACTATCATTAGAGTTTAATGTTGAAACTAAAACAGTAATTATACACGTATTAGTATTCACTTTAAAAATGCTGAAGAGTTCTGCAAATAATATGGGTTAGAAATGATCCCTGAATGTTAAAAAAACTGAGGAAGAGAATGTGATCAGTAATGTACTAGATAGTCATTTATTTATTTCTATAGCAAACCATCATTAAACTGAGTCCCAATATTAATTTCTCCTATCGGAGACAAACCTAAGTGAGTGTTCTGTGCAACGACTCACTGATGAGCACACAATCATAACTTACTGTTATAATATTAAGAGCACAAAACTAAAGTCTAGAAACACTGATTTTGTGACAGTCAAAAGACCACACTTATTGAAATGTCAGGTGAATTTAAGCAGCTAGAAAAATATAGTAAAGCGATAATCGACTTTTAGCCATATCAACTGATGCTTCCCATAGCCTATTATCAAACTCCTAGGAATTTCGTTTAGTAACTAAACGACCGTTTAAAAGACCTGGAACATTTTAATAAACCTATGAACTGCTCCTCTTCTTGTGCATCTCTCTGTCTCACTTTGAACATTCCACCACACTGAATTACACCACACATCAAGGTAAATGTAGTGCGCTCGAATATGTAGCCCAACGGTTTCCAGTTGAGTACCTTCGCAACTTTGCTGAAGTGCTCTGTCCAGCTGAAGGAAGTTGAGCTATACAGTGCTGTGGTGTTTGTTACATATTCCATCTGGCTACTGTTACTGAAAGTTCACGCTAATTTCACTGGTTGATATGATATAATGCAATCCAATGATATAATTGCCATATCTGGCATATACAATTACACCCAAGTGGTTAGCCATTCGATTTGCCACCCTAAAGAACCTTGGATAATAGAATACATGTCTGCTACTTACTGTCCTTATATTTGAGGTGTGAGCGACGTATATATGCAAGTGAATCACACGTTCACAACACACCGTGACTCATGAAAAAAAATAACTACATTAATACACAGCAAGAAGAAACCTACTCAATAGATACAGTTTATTCCGAATGATTATTAGTATTATTTCTTCTTTAGATTCCCAGTGCAACATACGGCATCAGTAGCGCATCGCAATTCCACTCTCCTTTCTGCAGTTTTTTCAACCTGACTCCACGGCCGCCCAGAAGCTTTCATTTCGCCCTCAAACAATCTCCTCCATGTCACCCTCGCCTCAGACACCCAACTCGTCGCTTCCCCGTTGGGTTCCACTCGAGGACCTGGCCTGGCCTGGCCTGGCACGTGATGTCCCCAATCGGCCTTCTCAGTGTATGCCCAATCCATCTCCACTAACTTCTACATATTTGTTGTGCAATGGGTTCTTGATTGGTTCGTTGCCAACCAGCCAGCCAGCCAGCCAGTTCCTTGTTGCTTATTCTTGTCACTCTGACCATCTGATCTTCAGTGTCAGTATCGAGTGAGCGTAGGCAGCAGCTGTTTATGTATGTCTGCAGTTTGTTGGAAATGCTTTTGGTAACGCGCCACCAGGTCTCTGAACCATCACATAGAAGCACTGACTTGACTGGAATTGGTGTTGAAAATCTGGACTTTGTTCGCGCTTTACGCTGAATGCAGAGTAGTGCAGTGCAGTGCAGTGTAGTAGATCTCCACAATGATTTCCGATCCTGGATTTGACGTGTTCATCTCTGCCGCCGCATGTAGTTGGAACGACGCTGCCTTGCCTGGGTAGGTGAAAGAGACAACTTCGTTTAGAATTCTCCCCTTGATAGCGATTGGTGCTTATTATTCTCGTTCTTCTTCTTGTTGTTGTTGTTGTCATTGGCTGGGTATCTTCATCACCTCTGTCTTCTCTACGTTCACCTGAAGAAAGTCCCGTCTTCGCCTACTCGCCTCGCCTCTTCTGTCAACTTGTTAGTTCTCACCTGTGGATCTCCGACTTTGTGCGACAAGACACTAGACATAAATCATCGGCAGCGAAATCTAAATCTTCATCTGTGGTCTTTTCATCGGCCCAGCCAGTGTATACCCCTCTTCTCACAGCTCCTCAAAGTTGTCTGCTGCATGATCCACTCCAGTCGACCACAATCACGAAGATCATCCGTCATAGTAGTAGGCAGTCTTGTCTAACTTCTGTTTTCACTTCAAAGACATCACTGAGCTTTCCATTATGAATCGCTTGGCTGGCATGCAGCATCACACAGCATATAACTGCTGTTGAATGAGGTTGATAGAAGTTTGTGGTGTGAAAATTGTAGTGCTGAAGCAGCTTTGAAATTACTTCTCCGTCGACGCTGTCAAAGGCCTTATCAAAGTTAGCCAATGAAGTTGAGGTTGAGTTGAGTTGACTGCCATTCCATACTCTATTCTATGATGATGCGTAGCGTAGCGTCGGAGTTTGATCCGCACTTGATTTCTTCTCCCTGAATCTAGCCTGTTCCGGTCGTAGTTTCGAATCCAACTACATCTGTTCCCCTTCTTCATCTTGTGTCCAGTAGGCTGCGTCTCCACTTTCTTCACATTGAGATGAAGTCGATTTGACTTTTAGTGTAGTGTGTCGTGATGTCTGATGAAATCGAATCCATATCGCTACCTTGTAAATATCTTGTGTTTGTACACAACAAATCATTGGATGCACAGAAGTCTGCAAACACTTCTCCATTCTCATTCATCATTTCACCGAGTACCTCTCGACCCATGATTGATTCTCTTCCTGTGTTGTCTGCTCCCAGTTTGGCACTCATGTCACCACATGCATTAGAATTTTGACGCCACCATTTGTGGTGGGGTCTTGTCCATTACTGATTGCAGTTGTCTATAGAAGTCCTCCTTCTTCTCTTCCTGATCTGCACTATTTCCAGGTGCGTAGTGTAGCGTAGCATTGTATGATTGTGACCTGCCTTCCTTCCTTTTGAGTTGAATCTTGCTATCATGATCCTGATCCTGCAGGAGGAGATTGGTTCCCACTGCATGAGAGCCTTTCATGCTGTTGGGAATATCATGATAGCCATTCCAAAACTCAGTGTGCTCGTGGTTGCCGTGTTGTCTGGGTGACAATTTCGGAGTAGATTATTGACTCCTCTCCAGTTGACAGTTTGGAGAGTCCACTTCCATTCCATCTGCTTTCGCAGATTCCAAGCACTTTCTATACCATACATCTTCATCTCTTTTGCAATCTGGGCAGCCTTGCTAGGTTCATACATGGTGTGGACATTCCATGTCCCCATGCTTACTTTTGCTTTCATCGAGCGAAGAGAAGACACATCGGCCAACTGACTTTCTGAAGGCTTTCACAAATTGGCGTCATTCCGTCTCTCCGATTCCAGCGAGGTATAAGTTTGTTTTTATTTTTTCAATAGTTTCTTTGTGCTTTGAATTTCTTTTTTGGTGATTGGATTTGTTTTATGGGGTAGGGTTGGTAGCCGTATGCCTAACCTTCCCTCTTTATCCGGGCTTCGGGCTGGCTAGTAACTAGTGAACTAGTTAACCAGGCAAGATTATTTCGAAACGATAAGTGGTATGAAAATGAATGAAAGTTTGATCAAAAGGTCATGAGTCTAACTATCATGATACCAATAAGTCTTATTCATAATTTTTTTCAGAAATAAATAAACTAGTATGTCTGGTCTGAAATTCTTATCTTAAATCCTGTTGAAATCTTGAGCTGCCAAAACACTTTCTACCGATTATATTGATCAAATGCTTCTCTTCCAGTGTTTTTTAATCTTCTAAATGTCTTCTGAACGCATCGTGTACTCTTACACGTTCTTAAAATGTTTTCGCACTATCGTTTCTTAAGCTAAGAATAAAACAGGGAAAACGTTCAGCCTGTTGGAAATGGATTTTTAAATGCTGAAAAATATACCACATTACTATTCCTAGGATACCTGTATAGATTTAACAATTTCTGTGCTAGCTGATTGAACTGCTACCATCAAAATTACACTCTGTTTCTGAATCGACAATGGATGCTAATGTAACACTAACTGCCCTATCCACACTTATGCCTTCAATACTGTTGTTATTAATAAAACACATACATAATTATTTCTTATAAAAATATTGTACCGAAAGCGAATTTGTTGGAATATTCTGTGCTTAAGATTCCATACTGCATCGTACATGTTGTCTGACATAAGATGGTTCAAATCCCACTTCAACTAACTTAACCCCAGGCAGCTGGGTAGTATCATAGGCTGTAAAACACTAAATATAGCTTGTACCCTAATGCATAAACCTAAACAAGGCTGAATTGGATTGATTTAACAACCAAATGATATGATAACAAATCAGTCAAAGAATTCTCACCAATAGGTTAGATCATGTGTCTCTATTAATTATGGCAGCGTTACAAAGAATAGACTGTGTAACAAAGTTATCCTAGAGGATCCGTATCGTGATCAAAATTTAGTTGACCCACCGAGATTGATTCGTAATTTTAAAAAAACCTTTTAATGACTCAGATCATAACGACAATCACATTCGACCAAGGTGATCACAGTAATTTCTAAGAACAAACAGATTCTCTTTTCAGATACATCAATCTTCAATGTACCCCATTGTCCTTACCCACATTTTACACCGCTGAAGTTTAAATAACGCAAAATGATTGTGAAATATACCGCTGATAGGAATAAAAAGTCCATAGAAAGGGTTTCTTGAGCATATTTTACGAACTAAAAGATTAATTTATTAGGTAAATATCAATGCAAAAGCTCTGACGGTTAACGATACTGCTCAGTTGAGGAAAACCTTAAAGGAATAGAGATTTCAAGCGATTACAGACGCTGGTTTTAGGTTACAAATAAGCTATAGTTCGAGGGATTGTAGTACAATCATAATGATTTGAATTCAGATTTCGCATCAGTTTGCACCTTTAGGGTAAGAAATGTCTGGGACTTTAGAAAATTTCACTCTCTCACTGGAAAATACGTTGTATCGACAAAATGTAACACCTAGTAAATATATGTAATTTCGTGTGTGTGGTAGTGATAACATTTGGTATACTATGATATAGTAGCTAATTTGACGCCACCAAATATATTAGTGGACATACAAGAAGGAATCAGTATATTTTATGTTTTATAGTAACATTTTCTTAAATACCAACATTTACAAATCACTCCAAGTTACAATACACCAATGACCGAAGTACATTAACCCATACCTTGTACTTATAAACTAAGCATCTAGCATAAGCTTGTATGCCTGGACTGATGTCTTCTCCGCTTGGATGTGTTGGTAATGCGCTTGATGGACACTCGCCTAGAGCATAATTAGCAAGTGTATCTATTTCTTCTAGCACACTAGATGGGACTCTGACTGTCATGCACCAATTGTCATTTGATAAATGGCTGCTAACACTTTGAAATGAATCTGCTGATGATAAAACTTCATTTGGGGACTTAGCGGAATAAAATGAAGTAGAAGTCAAGCTGCAAACATCGGAAAAAGAAACAATTGAAAAGCTGTGTAATGCCAAATAGAAACTGATAGAAATCTAAAACAAACTTTAACATATGAAGAAAATTCCTTATAGATATTTCACCCATTCACAGATTCAGAAACTAACCTAATCTGAATTTTGCAATGTACTCTATCATAATAAATGACTTTTACGAAACTAAAGCAATGAAAATTACTGAATACCGTTTGCAAAATTTCGTAACAACAGTTATGTATAATCGTAACAGGCATTTACTTCGGACATTACAATAATCACTTCAATGTGTTCACATGGATTCAAATTAAGGAATTCATTTTAGTCCGTTTATTAGAAATGTCACACAATGAAACAGCATCATTTACTGGATAACGTTTCGGACAGTATAGTCATAGCCAAATAGGATAAAGGCAACTCAACAGTTGTAATGAACAAATTTGACTACATCTACAAAGTGATTAGGCGTATGAAAACAGGGCTATATGAGGAAATTAAGAAATCAGTGAATAGTATTATAAGGTCAAGAAATCGACAGGGGATCTGATACGCCAGATGAAGCCGTTTCTAGGTGAGTCAAAATGGTTTAATTTAATGACGAAAATTGATAATTCCAGTAGAATGTATGGTACTATTAAGATTCATAGACCAGGTTATCCCATCAGGCCTATAGTAGATTTCATAAACACTCCGACTTAAGAATTGTCTAAATATTTAGCAATGGTGTTTGGCCCAATAAGAAATCACTCAAAATCTCGACTTCACTCTTATGACTTAAAACACAGATTAGATGACAATGAGAAAAATGGTTAGCTTTGATATAACTAGCCTTTACACAAATATACCGACCAATATGGCTCTAGAGGCAGTTAGAAATGGGCTTAAGGATGACAATAAGCTTACGCATCGAACTAGGGTGCCGATCGAGGAAATTATCCTACGGTACCACTTTCCCTGACATCTACAGTTTTTAACTTTCAAAATAAAATATATAATCTAGCTGAAGGTGTTGCCATGGGATCACCAATATCCCCTATCGTTGCAGACATATTTATGGATAGTTGGGAACAGATGGCCCTTCAAACATTTAGTCCTACTCCAAAGATATGGTTCTGATATGTAGATGACACATTTACAGTACTGAAATCGTAACATGTCAATAGGTTATAGGCACATATAAGTTCAGTAGTGAATGCAATCCAATTTATCTGTGACTTAGAAAGTGATGAAGGTGAGCTAGTAATGTTGGATTGCAAGATTAAACGAATACAAGAAGGAAGTTTAGAGACCAGCGTCTATGGGAAACCTTCCCATTCGAATCGTTACTTAGACTCCAAATCCTTCTACCCCACCTCAATTAAAGTAGACCTAGTAAAATGCCAAAGTGATAAGGCGAAAAAGCTTACTAGTATACCAGAAAATCTACAACAAGAAATGAGACATCAAGAATACATTGCGTTTCAATAATTACCCACCCAAATTTGCAAATGAATTCATAAGAAATCGAAAGAAAAATATTACTAGCAGTAGTAATAATACTGGTATTAATAATAATTCTACTACCAATGATGATAGGGTTGAGAGAGAATTCAAAGCCTCTGCCGTGTTAACATACGAGGAAGGCACCTCAGAAGCATTACGAAGAATTCTCAATAAGGCTGGAATTAAAGTGGCAGTCAAACGAACAAACTAGCTTAGAAACAAGCCTTGTAGGTTAAAAGATCCTATCTATGCAACTAAGCAAAATAATCTGGTTTACGGAATCCCTTGTAATGATTGTGAGGTCAAGCACATAGGTCAAAGTAATCGACCAGTAGCGACTCGAATAATCGAGCACAAAACCTTGGCTAACTCAAGATTAGCAGATCCTAGTAAGATAAGAAATTTAGGAAAAAGCTCGGCTATAGCTTTGCACACAATTACACACAATCAAACAGTAGGGGGAATAGAGCGACAGCGTTAAAAACTAACTTAGTTGGGTGGAAGGAGAAATTGATAACGGAATAGTGTTTATCGAGTCAACACCAAATACATACAATCGAAATGATTCTGCAACCGTCCTAAATATATGGAAGTTTCTATCACCGTTGTCACAAAGAAGGAGAGAAAATTACGACTATGTAAACTCTGTGTCAAAGTTGTAGAGTTACCTGGCATGAATATGGACAATAAATTGTGTCCCAAACGTTATCCAGGAAATAATACTGTTTCACTGTGACATTTCTAATAAACAGAATAAAATGGAATCAAAATGAACCACACTGTCCAAGTTTTATTCCTATATATATATATATATATATATATATATATATATATATATATATATATATAATTTTCTTTCTCCTTCAAAATGTTTAATGAAATCAGAAAAGTTTTTCTTCCGTACATCATAAAAATTATCGACAAAAGCAAAATAAAAACTTGGACAAAAAATACATTACTTGAAATTGCCATAATTTGTCACTGTCTAGGAGGAAATAATTTGATACTGATATGTTATAAGTAAATGTAAGTCACAAATTACACTAAGTGAATGGAGTGATAATCATTAAATAATGCTTTTCAGTACACTATTTTTATGAGCAGTTTGAACATTCTTCATAAACTCTCTGATGTGAAATATCTGTCAAAAGAACCATGTAAAAATAACCTCGTTTTTTTCTATGGTTACCGTAAAGGATCAATCACTGTAGTCAAATTTTCTTACGATGTAATAAAACTTTGTTTTGTAATCATTTATTTATTTTCCCATTTTAAATATCCACAATTTAATTTGACCTTTGACCGGAAAGTTACTCTGGAATATTCCATCCCTTTTACTCTTTACTCATGAATGCATATTTAAAAGAGTGATCCCATCGAAAAGAGAATTTTTTTTTCTTTTCTACAATCGTTTTCTCACTTTACTGATAACCTAGTGGGTTTGTTCCGATATGGGTTACTTTAAAGGCCCCCCTAGCTGATGAGACAGCCAATTACATTCCTCTATCTTATGGAAAATACTAAAACTTGGTTGGTTTATGAAACAGTTGCTAGAGCGGTTGTTAAAGTCACTCTTCGGTATTTGAAACGTTAAATCAAATTTTTTAGACACTGAAAACGCTGTTTTTAAGCTGTTAGGTTATGACATAACCCATTTGAATAAAATCTCAACACATTCACAAACACTGTAGACTAATCCTAATTCACTGCATGTATTTTAGGCTTTCAACATTTCCATATAATAATAGAAATGCAAGCGTTTGACCGGTGACAGACAGATAGACAAATAGGAACAATGTAGGACTTCGTATAGCTGCATTTCACATCATTGCACTGAGAAGAAGACGGAGAAATGAAAATAATGACATTAGTAATCATGAAAACTCAAGAAAATAGAAATTAAAGGCAGTAAAATATGAGTTAATGAGATTTAAAAAACTTAAATGAAAATAAGGAGTACAAATATATTTCACTCAGCGATTAATTTCGCATTACATAGCCTCAAGCCTAGAAGCATTGATTGAAATTGTCTGAAGGAAACCAGCTACTAAGCTAGACTATTCTAAATGATTCACAATGAAAGCTCATCTTCATTATATGGTGCCACTTTTTGATATGATCATCTTAATCCTATGTCAAGTACCAAAGTGGATCACAGTGTACACAATAGTTTTATTTACCTACTCATGTTCCACCCACTCCAGTTGGTGAAGACCAATAATCTGATAAACTCAATTACCGATTTTTTCTAATGAACAACCACGTTTAGTAAGGAAAGGAACAGTTATATACAATGCCCTCAGCCTTTAATCACTAGTCAACTAATACAGCTTCTAAAATCCTAAAATTGATCATTTTTACTCATTCAACACGGTGACATAACTGGCTGTCAATGTAATAAATATCCCTTAAGAAGCGTATTCGATAAGTAAAAGTGAGAATATTAATATGAGAAGTAAAAGATAAAAACTTACTCATTATCGTCATTCTCTACATCCAAAAAGTTTTCGTAGTCATCATCTATATTGTCAACATCATCGAACATAAAAAATGGCAGCGTTTCAACCTGTAAAAAAATATTGCACCGTAAAGTGAAATGTAAATAAACTACAAAACCACATCAGTAAAATATTGTCAGGCATTAAAAAGGATAGACAGATAGATCAGGAGCAGTAGTGAAAGCCAAACCGCCAATTTCTTAATCTTTTGAGACATTTTCAACATGAAGTACTCATCAAATAAAAGATTGTTTGTTGAATGATAGTTTCCGATAGTTAAGAATACTCCGTCGCTCGAGCCGAAATAGAGGATCGTCAAATACATCCTAAATGGTTAATAGTTGACAGCTAAACAATGCCAAACTATGTGAGGAGCAGTTAATCATTGTGATTTTTCCAAATAACCGTTGTTATCCAACGGAAATAAGTTAAGTTTGATATTCCTTCCGGTGATATTCAATAGAATGCATAAAATATATAAATTTATGAAAAAATTAATAACTCTAAAAGGCTAGTCATCAAAATGATGACCTTAGTTGAACTGAGCCATTAAGATATTTTATCTAACCTGATAAGCACACGAAAAAGCTTGTAGGAGTTGGTGGTAGAAAATAAATTTTATGCAGAAATCTTCTCAAGCACTGGAAATCATAGTGGGTTACTTCAGTATGATTAAAAGGTTTGACATTCTGCCACCGATTTCTTCTTTATATTAGTGAAGTATCTTACATTGTATATTAGCAGTTAAAACACTTTAGTATGCAAGGATACACATCCATGGGTGCCTGAACCCCTTGCTTCACATGTTTAATTTGGGTAAAAAAGTAACAACCACGCCTATTTAACTAGTTCACTAGTTACTAGCCGGCCCGAAGCCCGGATAAAGAGGGAAGGTTGGGCATACGGCTACCAACCCTACCCCATAAAACAAATCCAATCACCAAAAAAGAAATTCAAAGCACAAAGAAACTATTGAAAAAATAAAAACAAACTTATACCTCGCTGGAATCGGAGAGACGGAATGACGCCAGTTCGTGAAAGCCTTCAGAAAGTCAGTTGGCCGACGTGTCTTCTCTTCGCTCGATGAAAGCAAAAGTAAGCATGGGGACATGGAATGTCCACACCATGTATGAACCTAGCAAGGCTGCCCAGATTGCAAAAGAGATGAAGATGTATGGTATAGAAAGTGCTTGGAATCTGCGAAAGCAGATGGAATGGAAGTGGACTCTCCAAACTGTCAACTGGAGAGGAGTCAATAATCTACTCCGAAATTGTCACCCAGACAACACGGCAACCACGAGCACACTGAGTTTTGGAATGGCTATCATGATGTTCCCAACAGCATGAAGGGCTCTCATGCAGTGGGAACCAATCTCCTCCTGCAGGATCAGGATCATGATAGCAAGATTCAACTCAAAAGGAAGGAAGGCAGGTCACAATCATACAATGCTACGCTACACTACGCACCTGGAAATAGTGCAGATCAGGAAGAGAAGAAGGAGGACTTCTATAGACAACTGCAATCAGTAATGGACAAGACCCCACCACAAATGGTGGCGTCAAAATTCTAATGCATGTGGTGACATGAGTGCCAAACTGGGAGCAGACAACACAGGAAGAGAATCAATCATGGGTCGAGAGGTACTCGGTGAAATGATGAATGAGAATGGAGAAGTGTTTGCAGACTTCTGTGCATCCAATGATTTGTTGAATGGAGGCACTGTGTACAAACACAAGATATTTACAAGGTAGCGATATGGATTTGATTTCATCAGACATCATGACACACTACACTAAAAGTCAAATCGACTTCATCTCAATGTGAAGAAAGTGGAGACGCAGCCTACTGGACACAAGATGAAGAAGGGGAACAGATGTAGTTGGATTCGAAACTACGACCGGAACAGGCTAGATTCAGGGAGAAGAAATCAAGTGCGGATCAAACTCCGACGCTACGCTACGCATCATCATAGAATAGAGTATGGAATGGCAGTCAACTCAACTCAACCTCAACTTCATTGGCTAACTTTGATAAGGCCTTTGACAGCGTCGACGGAGAAGTAATTTCAAAGCTGCTTCAGCACTACAATTTTCACACCACAAACTTCTATCAACCTCATTCAACAGCAGTTATATGCTGTGTGATGCTGCATGCCAGCCAAGCGATTCATAATGGAAAGCTCAGTGATGTCTTTGAAGTGAAAACAGAAGTTAGACAAGACTGCCTACTACTATGACGGATGATCTTCGTGATTGTGGTCGACTGGAGTGGATCATGCAGCAGACAACTTTGAGGAGCTGTGAGAAGAGGGGTATACACTGGCTGGGCCGATGAAAAGACCACAGATGAAGATTTAGATTTCGCTGCCGATGATTTATGTCTAGTGTCTTGTCGCACAAAGTCGGAGATCCACAGGTGAGAACTAACAAGTTGACAGAAGAGGCGAGGCGAGTAGGCGAAGACGGGACTTTCTTCAGGTGAACGTAGAGAAGACAGAGGTGATGAAGATACCCAGCCAATGACAACAACAACAACAAGAAGAAGAACGAGAATAATAAGCACCAATCGCTATCAAGGGGAGAATTCTAAACGAAGTTGTCTCTTTCACCTACCTAGGCAAGGCAGCGTCGTTCCAACTACATGCGGCGGCAGAGATGAACACGTCAAATCCAGGATCGGAAATCATTGTGGAGATCTACTACACTGCACTGCACTGCACTACTCTGCATTCAGCGTAAAGCGCGAACAAAGTCCAGATTTTCAACACCAATTCCAGTCAAGTCAGTGCTTCTATGTGATGGTTCAGAGACCTGGTGGCGCGTTACCAAAAGCATTTCCAACAAACTGCAGACATACATAAACAGCTGCTGCTTACGCTCACTCGATACTGACACTGAAGATCAGATGGTCAGAGTGACAAGAATAAGCAACAAGGAACTGGCTGGCTGGTTGGCAACGAACCAATCAAGAACCCATTGCACAACAAATGTGCAGAAGTTAGTGGAGATGGATTGGGCATATACTGAGAAGGCTGATTGGGGACATCACGTGCCAGGCCAGGCCAGGTCCTCGAGTGGAACCCAAAGGGGAAGCGACGAGTTGGGTGTCTGAGGCGAGGGTGACATGGAGGAGATTGTTTGAGGGCGAAATGAAAGCTTCTGGGCGGCCGTGGAGTCAGGTTGAAAAAACTGCAGAAAGGAGAGTGGAATGGCGACGCAATACTGAAGTCCTGTGTTCCACTAGGAACCGAAAGGACAAATAATAAAAATAAGATTGGTAACTATGGTAAAATGAGTCAGTCGGAACCAAGAAATTAAGAGCAGGTAATAAAATGATTGAATAACTATTGGAGTGAAAGAAAATGCGAAATCAACATCTTAGTTGTAAGTGTATCTAAAAACAAAGAGTCAGTACAATTTAAAAATTGTCGAGTTACACAGTGCGTGTGAAAGTAAATTCAAAACTAGTTTATACACATGGTTTCGATTTCCACTTCTACATCACCGAAGGTTGCAGTAGTTCATAGTAGGAAGTTCTTAACACCTTTCTAAACTCTGTTATATTCTGTAGAATGCAGTAACTAAACTAACTTCAACAATGAAAACACTGTCAACTATATTTTGTAAAAGAGGATGGTTTGGTGCTCATTGAGCTTTGATGTCTCGTCGTGGACGTTTATAACCAGGCTTCGTGACATCACTTGCACTAAAAGCATAAAGCAATGAAGTATGTCTAAATGTTACACAAATGTTCAGGTAGTGTTTTTGACAACCTTTCACCTTGACGTTTATGACCTTAAATTTCATTTGATCAAGCTGAGATTTTTATCAGAGTACAGTCGAATTATTTATTATTATCACACTAAGCTTCCTTATTTGTCTGTTTGATCAATTTGCACTTGGTTCACGTATGGCTGTTACTTCGTAAGTACATTGTAGATTGGATAAAACAGAATTACGGGATTTTTATAAAGTGGCGATAAAGCCATCAAACCAGTTGATACCACTTTCAATATCGAAGCTCAGAGAATATCAAAACAAATATGATCCTAATCCTCAGCTACAAATCTTACCACCCCAAGGCAGAAACTTTGAGTGACTTTCATTTACTCATAATGGATCACGCTGGGATGTTTCTTTGGAATTACACGATCGATATCCAGATACAGCATTGTGACCGCTGGACAACTAGTACATGTGATCCAAAGAGTGGTTACATGAAATACTCATTCGACAGCTTTCATTAGCCTACCAACTATGAAAATTCCATTTCTAAGATATTCCTGCATTTTATACAATGCCTTTCTGTCAATCGTAAAAACCACGGTCATGAAAAGTGTTTATGACTGATCTACTGTAAACAGTAGACAGCATATTTTAAAAAACCAACTTCTACAATTTTTCAGGTTACAATTCATAATCAACTGATATCAGTTGGAGGAACATTGCAGACCTGAGAGCACTGGACAGCTGTTTCGTCCTAGTATGGGACTCCTCAGCAGCGGGCACCCAAGACAATTTTTAATTATAAAGGAATAAGGTTATTATCGTCATCAGATTGCAACAAAACACCATTCGATAGATTCCTAGTGGGAATGAAATTATTGACTTGTCATAAATTGGAATGTTTACTGCAAACTGGTTAGATAGCAGAGATATGTACTATTTTTGATACAATTAAAAAATTGACCGAGCATTTATAGAAGCTGATCATGCAGTGATAAAATATAATCCTATTATTTTTACGCGACTGGTTCATCCACCTATATACGGCGTTCAGAAATTTAACAACAAAAATGACGCAATAATCACGAAAACTCATAGATTTACCTGATGACCCTTTGGTAATTTGATAATTAACAACGGAGCAAGAAAGTTTCGAATTAACAATGCATCTACATGCTACTAATGACACAAAATAAGCCAAAAAGGACTCAATATTGTCTGAAATGTATTTAATGTACTTGAATTAGTACAGCTTAGCAAAGATAAGATAAAAACTCACGTCATTCTTGCTATTCAAAGCTTTCCTGCTGAAAGTGTATATTTCATTACGCAATTCCAACAATTCTTCCTTAACGCTGGTCAGTTGTTCAGTCATATGATGTAATTGTTCATCTTGTTTTCGGCGTTTCAAAGATAGTATTAAGCCATTCCAAAGACCATACAGAGTTATACTAAGTCCAAATCCGAACGCAGCACCCAGAAGAGCACTCAAAAAAGTGCGTTTGTCCAAACGTGCAGAACTTATCAGTCCTGTACCAATAACAGTACCAGCTGTCGTGACTTTTGATAACTCAGCGTTCTGATTAGCTATCATAAGATTCTCAATGTTCTGAAACAAAATAACACAACCCTGTATGAGTTTCCCAAATGATATTTAATAATAAAATTCTGGGTTTCCTTGCGGCAAACTGTTATAAATAATTAAGTGAAATAGAGAAATACATCTTAATGTAGGTTAGTTTACTAGGAAAAAAGTCTCCCTTTGGAAGCTAGCAAACCAGTAAAGCGAAGTTGGTGAAGTACTGATTATGTGAATCGTTGGATCGGAGTAAAAATATTGAAAGCACCCACGACTTAAACCACGTCTATTTCCTAACAGTCCACTAAACAAGCGTTCTGCAAAACTCGAGATGGTCAACGTTTTGACACCAGTAGTACAGTTATTGTTGATTATCTCTACACGCGCTCCATGGACGTAGCAAAAATATCGTTTTCCTGTAACGAGATACTCTCAGTTCTACATACTGTGACGACCAATCCAGAAGTCTATCTTACAAGTTTGCGTTAGGATGAACATATAGAGAAAAGTCAATGACCAAAGTTACTAATAGGAATACACACTCCACAAATTTCCAAACAACCTACATGTCAGTAGCAGCATCCAGTATTATGTACTTTCCAGAGAGCTTATTTATCCAATAAGGAATTCGACTGCAAGCAAGTATACCAATCAGACGAAATAATAATTTGTCAGAACCATACATATTCTTATCCTTCATTGTGGTGAAAGGAAAAATTAGTCTCTGATAGTCTATAGGTGGAGCTGCTGTTTTCATTTTAGTAACGGAACCTAAACAATATGCTTGACACGGCTTTTGTAGGCTTTTACCGACTCAAAGCTGATGCCTTGACGTAGTGATCGGAACTGCATATCAGAACGGCCCAAAGAGCTATAATGGTGGGAAAATTTGTTCCTTACGGTTCTATCTAGCATTACAGGAAATTCTGCTGGGTAGTGGTAAGATGAAAAGCAATTACCATCATACTACAAATAGCTAAGCAGTCATCAGAATTCGAAAGCAAAGTCGTACTGCTAACTGGATAAGATGTGACGGCAGTCAGATATTTCCTGCACGTGAAAACCAGTAAGTACCACGCTAATCCCACCTTAAATATGGAGTTCAGAGTTAAAATGGTCAGCCCCAAAATGACACCTTTCTAAGTAGTGTGGTATTCCCGTGCTGGTGGGGTTTTTTTAGCTTAATATAAAACGGCCAAAGGTACCTCAAACTTTCAGAAAGGTAGTGTGTGACCGACTTCAAGATGTCCCTTGAATTCTCCAGACATACCACTACCGGTTACCTGAAGAACAGCCTAATTTTCACGTTGTAGACAGCCGATAAGTTTCAACCACCTTCACAATCCTGCCAGCACTTAATCTCCCTCAGATCATAAACAACCTTCCATATCTCTACCTTCTAATATTTCTTTACATCTCTTGGTCAACATCTCTACTTCATCCTTAATTTTTCCTAGATTTGCAGCTATTGATAACAACTGAGTTTCGCAGAACAGCATCTCTAGTCTCCTGAAACCACACTCTACACTACACAGTGGAGCTTCTAATGTCTGCACCTTCTGTCCAATCGGCCAACAGATTTCGCCAACCGAAACTCCGGCATTTCACATAAGGAAAGCGTGCTGCATTTGTGAAATATGCACATAAAACCCAAATGCGATTATTTATCGAACTTAATCCGGGTAATATGGTGAATCCTCAAAATTCACTCCGGAGGTTCGATGGGTATTTCTCACGGTCTTGTAGGTACAGATGTCAACTTGAGTGCTTCGGAAGAAAGTGAACAGCTTGCAAGGATTTTAACTGGCAGTAGTCTTTGCGCTGTTTGATTAAATGAGGCAGTAAGGAGTAAAAAGTGGTGATATTTGTCATTGTTCTTCGTAATTTCGGCTTACGCACCCATTAACTACAGATCGGATTAAATGAAGGATGAGTCCTACAGAAACCTATATAAGTTTTTACTAAAACCTGAACGTTGAGACATGGTTGTCGTAGCAGATGAGTTAATGTATAACTGGTTCGGCTAGTTTAGGCTTAAAAACACATACGTGGCACATTCACAGTTTCAGCTGACTTGACAGATTACGGCGATTGTCTGCTACAACTTCAGAAACAGAGATATTGTTTGATGTAGCCCCCACCAACTTTAACTGGATGGTAAACACATACATATTGCTACCAGTCATTGCTGGAAAGAGTCGGTGGGAGATTACTGCCCATTCTAGAGCACGTATTTAGACAGTGATCATGCGTTGGTTTCAGAACGTGTATGTTTGCATCGAAATGAACCATAAAAATATTAGGGCTGCTCTCAGTGAAAAACTGGCCAGATAGTTACCGTAACAAAAGCAGATTATCTACTCGGGAAAACCTTGCTTTTATCTGCATTCTATTGTTAATCCAAATTTAAAAACAGTAGCTGGCACTCAGAAAAAGTCTCGAAAGGGACAGTGGGTTTCAGTAGCTTATTCTGAATTAATGGATGGACGCACATACATTCCTCCAGGCACCGAACATATCACCAGGGTTGGTGATGAGACGTTCATGACAAAAAATCAAAGCTCAAGGAACACCAAACCACTATGATTATCATGTAGGTTAACTGAAATGTCAGCTAGCCTATCAAGATTAGATGTGATTCCATTTGACTGCTACCATCACTGACTGCACCAGTCTTTGAGAAATGAAATGAATCCTATTGTCATAACTGCATGAGAATTAGGCTGATGAATACGGTGCCTAAGTTTCTAATTTTTATTACTACTAGACATCTGATTGGAGATTAGTAGCAGCAAATCTTAGCAAACCAGGTAGGTTCCAGACCCGTTCATTGGTGTATCAACCACACATTTATTCTCCTCCAGGTTATGGAGCACAGGTACATTTAACGGCGCTCGACAGTAGATATACCTCTTGACCTCAGAGCGGCATTCCACTCGGTCAACCAAGTGGTCCTGAAAGGGGTAGGGAGTAAGTGAATCACTCTGTTGAAGCCTTGGTACTCGAACACCCGTGATTGTGTTACAGCTCACGGCGTTATCAAGCTAGTGTGCATCGAGTGGTATCCCTTAAAGTTGTCCACACTCTCCATTCTTATTCAACTTAATTATAGAACCACAGGCGGTTTCCCAGTCATCGTCTGACTTTAGAGGTTAATCTTATCACAGCAGACTCCTTAGTGGGTCTAGAGTACACAGATGACAGTCCCATTAGGTGAAGAAGCTAACAAAACGCAGTCTTCTTGATACCTCGAGTGGCGATTTGAGAATGTTTAGGATGTTTTTCAACCCACCGGAAATAATTTATGTTGGTACCTTACGCAACGGTAGGGAGTGAAGTGGTTGATGCACTGACCAATTCACTTGGGAAATCATATCAGGTCTAGCGAGTCAGTCACCGACGAAATCTCCATATGGATACAAAAGAAGCGACCTGCTTTCGTCAATTCACGTCAATTATGGTGCTGCCGTGATTTCCTATTACATATTAAGAGTCGAGCTTACTGCGCTACAGGTCGCCTTGTTCTACTTCACAGCTGTGAAAAACAGCAATCAAGGATATAGTATATAAGGAGGCTTCAAGTGTCTGGCTATAGTTGCCTTCTTACAATAGGCCGTGTTTCATAGTGTCACCATATGAGTAACGCAGAAGTTGAGTGCAGAGTTTCGGGCAGAAGGAGAAAGTCAGTTGATGAGGTTGTGAAGCTTCATCAATTTAGGTAGCTTGGATATATTTTACGCATGGTAAGTCACGGTCTGCCCCACTGCTTGATATTGGCTGAAGCAGCTAAGGCTGGAAGAAGGTTGGAGGTGGCCAAATTACTATATGGCATCAGTTCATGAAGTTACTGATCGTTGGTCTGAGCCTTCTAAGAAAATGTAGACTTACAGGTTGGGACCCGTGTGGCAACAAAAACCAGGGGTTGGAGATTGTGGATGATGTCTCAGAATCAACCTCAAAGGTGTAGATATATACAGACATTAACTTCATCATAATCGTCAAAGTGACCCTGAGTATTCTTTTGCTCCTCTTTGCTCTCTTTCGATGACTTTTCACCCCTTTCTTCTTTGGTTTTCATCTTGATGCATTCTTGCTTGGTGTGCTGAAATGAAGTGCGGGAATTTTGACCCGTAGGTAGTAATACCTGGTTTTATGTCGATACTGTCTGTCTGGCCTTTCTTGTCCACCTATTCTTTGCATGCTATTGTGACGTGTGGCAGCCTGAACTCATGGACTTTGGGGCTAGATTCTATACTGACTTTTCTGTTTTCGTCTATGTAAACTATTTGGGAAAAAATTATTTTGTATGAACGATTCTCCGTTGTCAAGTGGTTGGTAAAGATAACAGAAATATTTAGCGTTAGTTGAGATGGGAGTATGAACTGCAACTATAAGTTTGCGTGTCTGATAATGATTCTTATTCCATGTGCGTTGATTATGTCAATTTGTGGGTGCCGTTTTAAACCAAGTCAAGCATTCTATTACGCTTTTATTCCTATCCATATAATTTCGGTTCCACTTGAACACAAAGTAATTAGGTTTTCAGCAAAACTTTAGGGCTTTAAGGATTATTAGACTGGTATTCGGTGAATGTCCTTCTGAAAAGGTTGGGTAAGTCGAACAAATCAGATATAATACATAAACCCCCATTAATTAGAATGCTAGCATAGAATTATTTCTGGTACAACTTAACGTAAATCACTCCTTTCATTTGACTGTAACAAAATTACGGATATGAAGTGAAATGAAACAATAATGGTATGTTCTAGGTGTTTTTCAAAGGGTGTTAATAATGAAAACAGACATCTAGAAAGATTTATTTTTATGTTGGGAGTGATCGCGAATGGTCTTAAGAGGAACGAAAATTTATGGATTGTCAGTAGACAGTAGGATTAAAAAGTTAGAAAAATCTAAGGTCATTGCTATACATGCTACTGTATCAGGTAGTTAGGGTGACTCCAACAATATGGAGATTGCTCAGACGGAAAATTTTCCTGTAAGTCCCAGTGTTTGAA